TCCTCTTTGAAGCGTGCGATTCGCGGATCGGATTGGTATGCGTTGTCCACCAATTGTCTCAATCGTTGCATCTCTTCCTTCTTCTTCTGAGCTCTGGCGGCTTTGTTCTGCTTCTCCATCCATCGCCGCTCATCTCTATTCTCTCCCTTTTCCTTCTCTTCTTCGTCTAAATACGAGTACTCTCTCCACGAATCGAAATCATACCAAAAGGCATAGAACTTATTCACATACGATATGTCCGACCGATTGTCGCCCAATTCAGGCACCGGTTGTTTTGTAGACCAACTGATGGACACAACAAATACACATACATTATAGGCTATTAATACACATTCAGTAAACCAATCAATAATACCGTGAATTTAATTTAAAAGCGTTGCCATAAACGCGATAAAAGTCCGCTTTATTGGCGGCATTATTGGCCGGAATCTCGTCATCAAAGGTTTCGTCGATACTATCATAGGATCTCCTTTTGATGGCATCGCCTAATATTTCGTACGCTTTCGTCAGACATGAATAGTAGTCGAGGTCGAGATCGATCACCTGTCCATCGGCTGAAGACCTCTTGTCGGGATGATGTCTCAGTACTTTCAACCGATCTGTTTTCGTGCAAACCATAAAAGCCGGTTAATATCCATTCAGACAACACATCATACATGACATATCATTACGAATACAGACATTGTTTTTTGATGTCTTCGGGAGTGGCGAAGAAGCGGTTGTGGATATTGAAGATCTTGTAGTGGTCCTGACTCTTCCACTCCTTCGGATCCAAATTAATCAAATACTCTTCGCTCTCGTCGTCGCCGATCGTGTAGTCATTCCTATCGCAGAGATCCGTCTCTATTAAGCCCAACCTCTGCAACAGTTTGTGCAGCCATTGGTCGTACGGCTCGATCAACACTAACGCCATGTCTTCAGCGCCGCCGAAGAGCAAGAAGTAAATCAATTCATTAGTCATATATTGTCTGTCATTCATATGACGACCAGCTCTTCGGCTCCAATACTTACCATTCGTTGTCTTCATTGAAGACATTATCACACATTTGAGACCACAATTCACTTAAATGTACGACAAATACAACCAATTATTTAATGCTTTCAAAACTATTTCTAATAAATCTGTTATAAAATTAAAATTCAATTCAAAACTCTATTAAATTAACATTTCATTCAAAACGTGAGAATTTGTTCATTACATTCATTCACAACATGTGTTACACTTATATCGGAGGCAATTATTTATTTGTTTGCATTGTTTTGAATGCGTTTTCACAATAAGGGTTTTGTTAAAAGTGATGTATTGTAACGTTGTTTGTGAAACTGAATTGAATCCACATTTAATGTATTTGTCATAAATAATGTTTTTATTGGGAAAACAGTTTCAATGCATTCCCTATGAATTACAATGACTTTATGGTTGAGAGGGTTTGACTTAAGTGTGATTTAGAAACACATTATTTACGAAACAATTTTTGCGATCAAAGCATGTCTTCAAACGGTATAAACTACGGTTGAAAAAATTCCCGGAATATAATAAATATTCCCAATTGGGAATATTCCCAGTGGGAATATTTCCGGAACGTTCCCACCCAAAAAGCTCACTCACCAGATGGCGCCAGTAGTAAAGTGTGTCGACCCCCACATTTCACCCCCATTTTGCCCCCAATTGGGGGTGATTGGGAATGTTCCCAAAGGGAATAA